ACAGCATTTTCTTCCCTTTTTGAACCGATTTTTTGCATTGATGAACGCAAAAAACGCTGGTATTTACGCGTTTTTCAAAAAATCGAAGATCGTGACGTGAACGAAACCCTGTAAATAACAGTGTTTTAGCCACTTTGGGGGACTAAAACTGTGGTATTTACGCGGGTTCTTGCCATCTGACAGCGCAAAACACTGTAAATTACAACACTTGGTGCGCTGTTTATGTTCAATTTTTTAACCCGCGATGCTTTCACCTGTTCTTTGCATTCTTCCACAAGAAACAATGTTGCAGATTGAAACTGGACGACAGCGTGACCCGAAAGAAAGCTGGATGGAGGAGTCGCACAGAAGCTTTTACACATAGAAGTCTTTACACAAAGGAGCTTTTTACACACAGAAGGTTTTACACAGAGAAGTCTTTACTCTAAGGAGCTTTTGCACACAAACATCTAGGAGCCTTTACACACAGAAGCTGTTACACAGAGAAGTCTTTACACAGAAGGCTTTTTACACACAGACGCGTTTGCACACAGAAGCTTTTACACAGAGAAGCCTTCACACAAAGGAGCTTTTACACACAAAAGCATTTACACACAGCAAGCTTTTACACACACAGGGGCTTTTACACAGAGAAGTCCTTACACAAAAGAGCTTTTTACACACAGAAGGTTTTACACAGAGAAGTCTTTACTCTAAGGAGCTTTTGCACACAAACGTCTAGGAGCTTTTTCACACAGAACTTTTTACACGAAAAAGGCCTGACAGAGAGAGTTTTTACACACAGACGCGTTTGCACATAGAAGCTTTTACACAGAGAAGCCTTTACGCAGAGGAGCTTTTACACACAAAAGCATTTGCACACAGCAAGCTTTTACACACACAGGGGCTTTTACACAGAGAAGTCTTTACACAAAGGAGCTTTTTACACACAGAAGGTTTTACACAGAGAAGTCTTTACTCTAAGGAGCTTTTGCACACAAACGTTCTTAGGAGCTTTTTCACACAGAACTTTTTACACGAAGAAGGCCTGACAGAGAGAGTTTTTACACACAGACGCGTTTGCACACAGAAGCTTTTACACAGAGAAGCCTTCACCCAGAGGAGCTTTTACACACAAAAGCATTTGCACACAGCAAGCTTTTACACACACAGGGGCTTTTACACAGAGAAGCCTTTACACAAAGGAGCTTTTTACACACAGAAAGTTTTACACAGAGAAGTCTTTACTCTAAGGGGCTTTTGCACACAAACGTCTAGGAGCTTTTTCACACAGAACTTTTTACACGAAGAAGGCCTGACAGAGAGAGTTTTTACACACAGACGCGTTTGCACACAGAAGCTTTTACACAGAGAAGCCTTTACACAGGGGAGCTTTTACACACAAAAGCATTTACACAAACAGGGGCTTTTACACAGAGAAGTCTTTACACAAAGGAGCTTTTTACACACAGAAGGTTTTACACAGAGAAGTCTTTACTCTAAGGAGCTTTTGCACACAGACATCTAGGAGCCTTTACACACAGAAGCTGTTACACAAAGAAGTCTCTACACAGACATAGAGCTTTCACACACAGACGCGTTTACACACAGAAGCTTTTACACAGAGAAGCCTTTACACTTTACACAGAAAGTTTTTACACACGGAAGCTTTTACACACAGTGAAATCTTTACACAGACGTTTCACACAAAGAAGCTTTCACACACAGAAGCTTTTACACAAAGAAGTCTTTACACAAAGTGGTTTTTACACACAGAAACTTTTACACACAAAAGCTTTTACACAGAGAAGTCTTTGCACAGAGGCGCCTTTACACGAAGTAACAAGTTGAAATTGGCAGCAGTTCTTCGGGAAGAACCCTTGGCAGGAGCTTTCGGGAACTCACTTGCTCCCCAAAAAAGCCGTCTATTTCCAACAAAGTTCCTATTCGATGAACTTTTTTCAAAAAACATAAGGACTATATTTCTGAAGCAGGTCCCCATCCAAAAGCTTTCAAGCCCACACTGCGATGAAATGGAGGGTCGAGAAATCCGGCGGAGCCGACGAGGGGCGTCAGCCCTTAAATTCGGGCTCCGCGGGCTCACACGAGTACGCTGACAAATGCGTCACGAGCGTCCCAGAGCGACTAGAGCTCTATGGTGAGGCGCGCCCCAAGCCGCCGACCCTCCGACGCCGGGCCCCGAAAAACACCAAAAATCCTTCAGGAGGGTGGGGGTGAGCTTTTTGGCCGGAATCCGGGTCGCTCATAAGCGTCTCCAAGAGCAAAAGGCCCCCCCCCCGTTTGGAGGGTACCTAAAATCGGAAAAAAGTGCCGTTTTGACAAATTTTTCGGACGATTTTTCGCTTTTCGAAAGTCGCATTTTTGCGTTTTACCGTCTTTTGCGGGAGCCATGCAAAAACGCAGAAAATGCTGTAAATACCAATACTTTTTGGACCCGAGATGCACAAAACACTGCAAATACCAGTGTTTTTGAAAGCCAAGCAAAAAAAACACCGTAAATTACAGCATTTTTGGCGGGATGATCGCAAAAAATGCTAGTATTCACAATGTTTTTGCAATTTCAAGAAAACGAAACACTGTAAATAGCGGTGTTTTGGCCACTTTTGGACGCCGAAACGCTGGTATTTACGCAGTTTTTTGCCCGTGGCGGCGCCAAACCCCTGTAAATTACAGCATTTTCTTCCCTTTCTGAACCGATTTTTTGCCTTGATGAACGCAAAAAAAGGCTGGTATTTACGCGTTTTTCAAAAAATCGAAGATCGTGACGTGAACGAAACCCTGCAAATAACAGTGTTTTAGCCACTTTCGGGGACTAAAACTGTGGTATTTACGCGGGTTCTTGCCATCTGACAGCGCAAAATGCTGTAAATTACAGCACTTTGTGCGCTGTTTATGTTCAATTTTTAAACGCGCGATGCTTTCACATGTTCTTTGCATTCTTCCACAAGAAACAATGTTGCAGATTGAAACTGGACGACAGCGTGACCCGAAAGAAAGCTGGATGGAGGAGTCGCACAGAAGCTTTTACACATACAGGGGCTTTTACACAGAGAAGTCTTTACACAAAGGAGCTTTTTACACACAGAAGGTTTTACACAGAGAAGTCTTTAGTCTAAGGAGCTTTTGCACACAAACGTCTAGGAGCCTTTACACACAGAAGCTGTTACACAAAGAAGTCTTTACACAGAAGGCTTTTTACACACAGACGCGTTTGCACACAGAAGCTTTTACACAGAGAAGCCTTCACACAAAGGAGCTTTTACACACAAAAGCATTTACACACAGCAAGCTTTTACACACAGGGGCTTTTACACAGAGAAGTCCTTACACAAAGGAGCTTTTTACACACAGAAGGTTTTACACAGAGAAGTCTTTACTCTAAGGAGCTTTTGCACACAAACGTCTAGGAGCTTTTTCACACAGAACTTTTTACACGAAAAAGGCCTGACAGAGAGAGTTTTTACACACAGACGCGTTTGCACATAGAAGCTTTTACACAGAGAAGCCTTTACACAGAGGAGCTTTTACACACAAAAGCATTTGCACACAGCAAGCTTTTACACACAGGGGCTTTTACACAGAGAAGCCTTTACACAAAGGAGCTTTTTACACACAGAAGGTTTTACACAGAGAAGTCTTTACTCTAAGGAGCTTTTGCACACAAACGTCTAGGAGCTTTTTCACACAGAAATTTTTACCGAAGAAGTCCTGACAGAGAGCGTTTTTACACACAACGCGTTTGACACACAGAAGCTTTTACACAGAGAAGCCTTTGCACAGAGGAGCTTTTACACACAAAAGCATTTACACACAGCAAGCTTTTACACACACAGGGGCTTTTACACAGAGAAGTCCTTACACAAAGGAGATTATTACACACAGAAGGTTTTACACAGAGAAGTCTTTACTCCAAGGAGCTTTTGCACACAAACGTCTAGGAGCTTTTTCACACAAAACTTTTTACACGAAGAAGGCCTGACAGAGAGAGTTTTTACACACAGACGCGTTTGCACACAGAAGCTTTTACACAGAGAAGCCTTTACACAGGGGAGCTTTTACACACAAAAGCATTTACACACACAGGGGCTTTTACACAGAGAAGTCTTTACCCAAAGGAGCTTTTTACACACAGAAGGTTTTACACAGAGAAGTCTTTACTCTAAGGAGCTTTTGCACACAAACATCTAGGAGCCTTTACACACAGAAGCTGTTACACAAAGAAGTCTCTACACAGATATATAGCTTTCACACACAGACGCGTTTACACACCGAAGCTTTTACACAGAGAAGCCTTTACACTTTACACAGAAAGTTTTTACACACGGAGGCTTTTACACACAGTGAAATCTTTACACAGACGTTTCACACAGAGAAGCTTTCACACACAGAAGCTTTTACACAAAGAAGTCTTTACATAAAGTGGTTTTTACACACAGAAACTTTTACACACAAAAGCTTTTACACAGAGAAGTCTTTGCACAGAGGCGCCTTTACACGAAGTAACAAGTTGAAATTGGCAGCAGTTCTTCGGGAAAAACCCTTGGCAGGAGCTTTCGGGAACTCACTTGCTCCCCAAAAAAGCCGTCTATTTCCAACAAAGTTCCTATTCGATGAACTTTTTTAAAAAAACATAAGGACTATATTTCTGAAGCAGGTCCCCATCCAAAAGCTTTCAAGCCCACACTGCGATGAAATGGAGGGTCGAGAAATCCGGCGGAGCCGACGAGGGGCGTCAGCCCTTAAATATATATTATATATGTGTAGAGATAAATACATATCCTTGGAAACCATGGCCTTCCGTATCTGAGTTAGTCTACTGGAAGGTACCCTCCTGTAAACTGACATGGATGTGGAAAATCTATCATTTTTAAATCCTTTTGCGACCGGGAAACAGTTGGTTTTAAAATTTTCCATATCTATGTTAGTTTACCCTGGGGTAAATGATTTGAATGATTTTCCATATAATGGTTTGAATGATTTCCATATAAATGATTCGATCATTATATGATCTGACCAAACTTCTGGTTCCGTCCAAGGTGCCCAATGTCGTTGTTCAGAATGAGGCCCAGCAGAACTGTGATGAGGTTGCCTGAGCGCGTGGTCTGATATTTTGTTGAGGAAAACCCAAGTTCTCTGGTTATGTGTTACTGGAAGAATGTGGATTAATGTTAGTAAAGCAATGGAATCCACCAACTCCAAGTTTGCCATAGATAGTGGTGATTCCAACCATCAAAATATGGCTCGTGTATGACGTTGCTTTACCAACATTAGATATTACAGTAACATATATTAATCATTAACCATCAACCTTTTTTGTAGCCTAGTTATCTAGTCAAAGACATACCCTTGTGTTCATGGATTTTTGGGGTTTTGTCTGGAACAGAGCAGAAACAAAACAAAACTGCGTAAGCGTTTGTTGGATGAAATGACGATGAACAAATGGATTTTGGTGGGTCCGCATCAATGTTCAGACACACCTACATGTCGAGGGTTTAAACATGGCTACAACCATAGAAATTTCGACCCCCTACGATGCCATCCCTGTACTTTTTTGGGTTCCCAAAGCACATGTTGCTTGAAAATGTGTGTATATATACATATGATATACGTATATATATATATAAGAAACCTATACACTTGCAACCCCCAGAAAAAATAGACAAAGTTCTTAATTACCATTATGTTAGTCGAATTGTACTTTCACATTTCGAGAGGTTTGCTGGGAACCAACACATGGGAATGAATGAGGCTCTAATTTTACAAAACCACCAGAATATGTGGATATGTCTAACTAGCTATACTATGACTATATGTAATATATTATAACTATCATTGGTTCAAATATGTATATATATATATATGTATGTAGGTGTATATAGCTATATATGTGTTTGTATATATATATGTATATATATATATATGTACACGCTACATTGCTACATGCATATTTACTTCGATATACGCATATCATTTCATTATCACAACATCGTGAAACTGACGCATATTTAGTTGCATTTCTATATTATATACATACAACAAAATAAATCCACTTCTGTAATTCCACATATCAATAAATACCACACACGTGTCACACTTCAATCATACTAGATTCTAGCAACAAAACAAATCGGAAGCAGGGCACTCAACAAAACAAAACATTGACTGACAAACATGTGACAGAAAAATGAGAAGCCCAAATGACAAACCAAAACAACGACAACCCCCCAAATGACAGAAACATGACAAACTACAAACAAACGACAAGTGGCAACGACACAAAAAAGCGGTGTTTTTGTTGCTCTGACGCAGAATGTGCTGGTCAGTACCCTCTGGTAAACATACAAAAAGCTATTGAAAAAGGTCCAGTCGAAATAGTTGATGTACCCATAAAAAAACAGAACGGCCCCTCATGGGGGAGTGATTTTTGCTCTAGAAATGGTCAAAAATACTGGTATTTACAGTGTTTTGTGACCAAAGTGGGCTTAAAACCGTTATTTTAGAGCAAAAAATAGAGTTCACCTCCAAAGGCTCTCATATGCTGTCATAAATCACTGGCATTTACAGACTCTTGTGGCAGGATTCAATTTTTTCTGTGAGGCTTGCAAAGAACTACAAACAATCAGCACATAACAGAAAACATCTGCTGCACAACATGCCATAAGAATGGGTAGCTGCACATCTTGGAACAGAATATACAGTAGCAATAGGTGACTAGTGTGATGGAGGTGATGGAGAAATTATATTGCTAAAAGCAATTGATATGATATAGGTGTTTCTTCATGAACTTGTTAGATTGATATCATCTTAACATATATTGTATATAGAAGCATTTGCGCTACATAAGAAATATGGTGGGAAGGGCATACATTATATAGGTGGATATAACATAACAGAAAACATCTGCTGCACAACATGCCATAAGAATGAAACATCTGCTGCACAACATGCCATAAGAATGGGTAGCTGCACATCTTGGAACAGAATATACAGTAGCAATAGGTGACTAGTGTGATGGAGGTGATGGAGAAATTCTATTGCTAAAGCAATTGATATGATATAGGTGTTTCTTCATGAACTTGTTAGATTGATATCATCTTAACATATATTGTATATAGAAGCATTTGCGCTACATAAGAAGTATGGTGGGAAGGGCATACATTATATAGGTGGATATAACATAACAGAAAACATCTAACACTCTGGATAAGAAGGATGGTGGGAATGTTACAACTCAAGAAGTAGGTACATATCTCGTTTATCATTGTTATCTTGCAGAGTCTTGTCAGCAGTCTCATTTCAATAGTTAGACAGAGAGAGAGAGAAAGCCTAAGAGACAAAGAAATTTGTCAAGCTGTTGAATATTAAGGTCAGGCAACCTGTGTGGTGGCATAGCTATTCAAAGATAACGGTATGTTTGCTTCTTTGAAACATAAGTTTAAAATATGGCCAAGATCCAAACATACACAATCTAGAATCACCAAAACCTGCACAGGCATCAAAAAAACAAACAAACCAATAGATGCACCAAACCTGCACAAGCACCAAAAAAAAACAAAAAAAAAACAAACCACTAGATGCACCAAACCTGCAAAGGAAAAAGTAAAAAACTAAAATTTCCAGGAACTATGGTCCACTTCTGAGTAGTTGCTGGAATTATTGGTTTTTGTTGGTTTTTTTGGTGTCTGTCAATGTTTTGTGAAGTCAGAGTCACCAAACCTGCACAGGCACCAAAAAAATCAAAAAAAAACCACTAGATGCACCAAACCTGCACAGGCACCAAAAAAAACAAAAAAGCTAAAATTTCCAGGAACTATGGGTCCACTTCTGAGTAGTTGCTGGAATTTTTGTTTTTTTTTGTTTTTTTTTGTTTTTTTTGGTGCCTGTCGATGTTTGGTGCATCTAGTGGTTTGGTTTTTTTGGTGCCTGTCAATGTTTTGTGAAGTCAGAGTCACCAAACCTGCACAGGCACCAAAAAAAACAAAAAAAACAAACCACTAGATGCACCAAACATCGACAGGCACCAAAAAAACCAAAAAAAACAACAATTCCAGGAACTATGGGTCCACTTCTGAGTAGTTGCTGGAATGTTTGTTTTTTTTGGTTTGTTTGGTGCCTGCCGATGTTTGGTGCATCTAGTGGTTTGTTTGTTTTTTGGTGCCTGTCAATGTTTTGTGAAGTCAGAGTCACCAAACCTGCACAAACACCAAAAAAAACAAACCACTAGATGCACCAAACCTGCACAGGCACCAAAAAAACCAAAAAAACTAAAATTTCCAGGAACTATGGGTCCACTTCTGAGTAGTTGCTGGAATTTTTGTTTTTTTTGTTTTTTTTGGTGCCTGTCGATGTTTGGTGCATCTAGTGGTTTGTTTTTTTTGTTTTTTTTGGTGCCTGTCAATGTTTTTGTATATCTCATGTCAAGATCATGATGAAAAAAATGTATTTTACTAGGGTTTTAGACCCTCCAAATGCATAAAACATCGGTATTTACAGTGTTTTATCCTCATTTTTAATGAAAATTCACTCCCCCACGGGGTGCCGCCCTCTAAAAAAATGGTGGTCTTTTCCACCGTTTTTTGTTAACGTTTACCAGGCCCGGTAACTCATAAGTTCGATGATTCTCCAAACGCGATTTCCATGGGATTTCTGTGGCACAGGCTACCTACGTGCGGTGGTGCCCCAGTTCGTTATCTAACTTGGTTTATAAGTCCAATTTCACTAGGGTTTATGGGGGATATATATATATATATATATAGTTAATGGGGATTATAAACCAACAAACATCACTGGGGGGTACCACCTTGTACGTGCGGTGGTGCCCCCCCCTTAGTTATTCGTGGGTTCATAACCCCATCAAGTAGATATCTGCTGCCTAGGTCCAAGTGATTGGAGTGCTAAACTAACTTAGCTAACGAACTGGGGGCTCCAGCCTAACTATGGGCTTCCCAGCCGGCCATGTTAGATTTCCGCAGGATATCTTTTAGCCTGCCAAGGCACAAATGATGAATGGCATCAAACAGGTCAAGCCACCTTGACACCTCCAGCAAGATCGCTTGCTGTGTGATGGAGAAAACCAATGCCGATCGTGTCACACAATGTGTCAAGTCCCATGGGCAAAGACTATTCATGGGGATTTCTATAGTCTATCTATATGTTTATGCAGTATTCACTTTGGGTTTGGGGTTTGAGGTTTGGTGTTTTGCCAGATTGGCACCTGTAATTGTGATTAATTGTGTATGTTCAACCTCCCATTTCCATGTTCCGATAGGTCTTGACAAATCTCAACTTCTCACCATCCTTCACCTGTTCAGGACTCATTCCAATTCATAATCTTATACTTCGGGGTGCAGTTGAGCTTGTATATGAGTATAATGAGTATATTGTCTAACCATACATACAACATTAATTAATCAATATGAGTATAATGAGTATATTATCTAACCATATATAACATTATGTCACCATATCTAAACATAATATCATAATTAGTGGGCCTATATCCCAATGCCATTTTGCTCACCTCTGGGCTTGCACTCAAGGCTTTCATCCCGACTGGATGGACACTGTTGTGGACACCGATATAGGTGGCATGAGTAACTCATTTCTTGAACAGATGCTTTCTTACCGGTGCTTAGTAGGGAATGGATGGGAATGGAATGGGATTATTATTGATAGTTCTTGTGGATCATTCCCTCATTCCCTACTAAGCAGAAGTAAGTTTTGTAGACAACAACAAAAAAAAAAAAAAACATGTGTTTTGTTGAGACAGAAAACGAACTATCAGATCCATCAGACTCAACATCCCTTGCGTTCCACCCGCCCCGCGAACTGGGCTTGTCCCACTGTTCAGTGCAGGGTTTGCAGCAAGAACGTCCAAGGAAAGCATAGATGCGGCCGATGGTCGAGTCATCTTTCAACATCCAAACACCTGCGCAGCTGTCATGGGATCATTGGTTCATGGGAGTTCCTTGATCCATGGCTGGTTGATGTCACAACCGGATGCTGCTGAATTTGGAAAATAACGAACACCTGCTATATCTTGAGCTTCTGAGAGTTGAACGGGGTGTTTTTAGTATTGGTCTGTCTGAAAAATTTGGTGCCCCATTCCATGTTTTGTTTCATAAGTGTCCATCTTATTGCCTATTGATATAAGTTTTGGGGGTAATTATTTATGCCCCCATGTTTGGACAAACCCATCGAATATGCACCTGCATTGGGTGATTGTGTGGTGAACTGTATGATTTTTGTGCACACGGTCTGGAACTACCCCCCAAAAAATGGCTCCATGTATGGTATACATTTACATGGTCAATCTTTGGTTGTCCGCAACAAAAAAATCTTGTGCTGGTTGGCTGGTTATTTTCCATGTGTAACAAAAAACTAAAGGATCAAACTATCCAAGGTAGGGGATGTTTATCTAACATTTACCCTCTGGTAAACTAAGATAGCTATTGAAAATCACCATTTTTATTGGGAAAATCCACTACAAATCACCATTTTCAATAGCTATGTTAGTTTACCAGAGGGTAAATCATTTTGACAGATCGATGTTGATACCTAAGGCACCTATGAAGTGTTTGCCGTCCCCCATGGTTTTATGGATCACTTGGCCAATGTTTGCCAATGATATCCAATTCATATCCCATGAAATATCCCATTGTAACCCTTCCCATATCCCATGAAATATCCCATGAAATATCCCATGAAATATCCCATGAAATATCCCATTGTATCCCATGAAATATCCCAGATGCTCCATGGTGCTGGAATATTTACAATATTTACCTACAAATCTGTGCCATTTTTGGGGTCAATGTCGGTATCCCATGATATCCCCATTGGAAAATTCCACATGAACTCCCCCGATGTGAGATCACGTCAGATCGCAGGCGCACCGATGAGTGCGTTGAGGATCAAGTTCAAGGAGGACACCAACATCTGGCCCTACGCGATGACCGCGATGACAACGCGTGGCGAGCTTGACTTTTTCTTGGGCCATGACTTGTGAAGCCTTTAATGGATTGAATAGTTTGAATATCATGATGTTATATATATATATAATTTTTATAGATGTATACCTCCTGGTATGCCCCTGGTAATTGAGGATAGAATTGGTTTGTACGACTCATTCTCTGGGAGTCACTGGAATCTGGGAAGGCCTTTTTTTGGGAGTTTACCGCGCTATATAAATAGAAACCATGGTAATGGTAACTCTACTCAGTGGTGAGTCTCCACAATTGATTACAAGTGTGCAATTTTTGCGTTCTGGAATCCAAAACAAATTGCTGACCATCAGCACCTCAAAGATGAAGGGATTCGATGGCTTTCTGTATTGGTGCAATGGGTCATGATATTTGACAGCATATCATCTTAACCTCCAGTTTATTACGACTTTCCAAAAGAATGATATGTCCCGAAATGGTACGAGTACCCCCCCCAATTACCCTTTGGTAAACTAACATAGCTATTGAAAATGACCATTTATAGTTGAATTTGCTAGTAACTGGTGATTTTCCATAGCTATGTTAGTTTACCAGAGGGTGTATCTCCATTAAATCCCCATTCAAGTCTATTAAATCACCGCTAAATCCCATTATATCACCATTAAATCATGGTAGTTACATGTAGTTACCCATTCAAAAAATATTTCAAATGGTGATGTTTCATTGATTTTCCAGTTCGCTATGTTAGTTTACCAAAGGGTAGTAACACTGGGTTCTTGCGAAGCGCCAAGCGACAAAGGCGCCGCCCAAAATGCCGGCGATCAATTCACCAATGGTGCACCTCTGGGGTGTCAACAGTCTTCAACACATTGCTTCAAGGGAAAATCTATGAGAAAACTCTATGGTTGTTTTTTTTTTTTAACCATGGTTTGACCTAAAATTCTGGTTGGTGGTGCAATAACCATCTTGAAACATATGAAAGTCAATGGGATTATCCCGTATATTATGGAAAATAAAAAATGTGTGAAAACCACCAACCAGCCATCAATAAATAGGCCTTAGGCCTTTCCTGTATTTTGGAAAATCCGTTGGGCCATTGGGCCACCATTTGTTTTTCTCAGATGTTCAGTAGCCCATGGGTTTTGAATGGTCACCCAACCAACCCAACCTGCCGTAGTTCACTACTCTGATATCAACAACTCAGTGCTTTGTGAGAAACTAGGAGCAACTAATGTTGATATGTTTCAGGCAGCCAATACTAAGGTGTATGTCTGGGCAATTAATAATTTTCCCCACAAGACATCATAATATTGCTATCGTTGGTTTGTCCACAAAATGACAAATGGAGTGGTGTCCCATTTTTTTTGGCTGCCCAGAAATCATTGTCTATAATTTGCTTTAAAAAAACCTGGGGCCGACATTACCTGGTTGGTGGTATACCTACCCCTCTGAAAAATATGAAAGTCAATTGGGATCATTCTTCACAATATATGGAAAAATATTAGTCAATGTTCCAAACCACCAACCAGTTACAAACGTCCCCTGTCTTCGTGGGGTTGTCCCATCTCCAACTGGACGAGCGACAGAATGAGGATCAGGATGCTGTACTTAATGACCTCAACTGCATAAGGGAAGGATGTTGAAACGAAAAAAAGGGAAGGCATGTCAACATATACACCCTGGATATTTAAGATGTACCCTCCGGTAAACTAACATAACTATGGAACATCACCATTTTAAATGGGAAAATCCACTATAAATGGCAATTTTCAATAGCTATGTTAGTTTACCAGAGGGTAACTCCAAAATATCCCAAATTATATAATCCAAAAACAACAATTTCTGACCATTTCCACTGGGAGAATCCTCTTCCTGACCCGGTTTTTTGGGGTTTCCATCTATTCAACAACAAGATTGGGAAGCAAACCAAGAATCTAATGCAAATTCCCCTGAAAAACCCTTCAGTGTTTTTTCATTGCTGCTTCCAAAATCTTCAGTGTTGATATTGCTTCTTCTCAACGACTTTCAGTTCTTCTAACTTCTCAATCTTCCAAAATGTTGACCCTTTTTCGAAGAACTGATCTGTGGAAGTCGTTTGCCAAGCTCAACTCATGGCACCGTCCATCCGCCCAGCGGCCCGAAAGCGATGCGCCACTTCGGGTGGCGGCGGACCCATGAGGGGGACCCCCATACCTCGCAGACATCGGTGCCCAGCTGCAAGCCGAGGGATTTGGCAAATCCATGGGCTACTTAGATGGGCCATGGGAAAGATACGCGATTCTACTGCTTAGTAACTGGGAATATATATATATATATATATAACCTCCTATATCCCAATGAAATAATCCACTTACTAACTAGTTAACTAACTCCATGGCACATCTAAGTCACAATCATAGTCGATCAAGCCCAGCTCCAGATCCAGATGCATTGGGCCCATTGGGATGATGATAGCAGGGTAGGCTTCAAACCAACAACGCTTTTATGTTGTTCCATGTATGTATATGTGTATATATATATATAAGCATCTGTTATATAATATAAATATATACAATTATATACACATACTACAGAATGTATGTATATAATGAGATGTCCTTGTCCAAAAATAGGGTACTCCTGGTTATATAATCATCACTTTCCCTATTGACTTGATTTAAATTGACTATTTGTGGTATACCCCATTTTAAGACACGCCCATATATATATATAATACACACACATATGTATAATATATCATATGTGATATATCTATAATATTATATCATAATAGCCACTATGTCTTTTCTAAGGTGAACTCATTGATGCCTCAATTCCACCTTCAACATCTAGCAGGAAGGTCCGCCACGCCTCCGATAGGAATCACCATGATGGGCCAAAGGCGGATTGGAACTTTTGACGGATGGTACCAGGCAAAAACAAGAAAACATGCGCCACACATTCTCGCTTTGAGTAAGGGCTAGGTTATGGCAGGTGAACTATGGTGAAGCCCTGCCAATCTTTAGCTGAAAACAAGAAAAAGCAAGAGTGACATGAAATTTGCCAGCTGTGGAGAACATGGGCCAATGAAACTTTGTGACTGTGTGTGACTACGTGGTCTTTGCAAAGTTTGGACGTTACACCAATTGAACTGTACTGATCCATAGATTCGGACCCTAAGGGCCGATGGGAACGAGATCGCAACTGAAACCTTGAGCCAAATGCACCATCACCAAACCCTTAGAAGACGAGAATGGAAAAATAACAAAGATCTCATCCTCGGGGTGGGGAAATTTACGTAACGTACATCAGTTTCACATGTTGAAAAGCGTCTCAAATCAGTACCAAATGATACTAAATGTCAGTATGGTGCCTAATCACCCCCTTAAAATTCACCAAAGTCAATCTATTCCTGTCAACAAATCCAAGAAGACGTCCTCAAATCTCTCAGTAGCCAGTCTATTATGGCAGGAACTAAGTAATGCAAGTTCTTGGGTTTTAGCTCTGTATTGATCCTAGCATTGATGCCACATTTTTAGTGCCTCTGCAAGTCAAGGACCATGGTATATGTTTGCCCAATTCTATAGGTATTGGAGGCTCTCTCGCTATAGAGGTTTGTGCCTGTGGCCGTCAATAGTACCCTCTGGCTATTTAACACAGCTATGGAAAATGCCCATTACATAATTTATGATGAAATACCTCTTTAAAGAAAAAACACTTAAACATATATATATATATATTTACACATGGACCTTTTTCATAGCTACGTTGAATCACCAGAGGATAAGTCCCATCATGTTCATTCATTTTCCAGCACCCCATAGCATAATCATATGTCTTGATACATGCTGTGTTGACCCAGGAGTCGCGGAAGCTTTTTGGAAGTGCACTCCAATTCCAAAGAGAGGTAATTCTCACTGTTCTGGTTGGCGGTTTCAACCTCTCTGAAAAATATGAAAGTCAATGGGGAAGGAATATCCCACATATTATGGGAAGTAAAATTCATGTTTGAAACCACCAACCAGTTAATAATAATAATAATGGTTACTAATGGATCATGTATACTCTGAATATACCTACAAAGTCTAAAGTGGTGCCTCCTAGATAGTTAAGTTGGTTGATAACTCCCATAACCATAACTATGTTTTATGGCAGATATAACTATAGTTAATGGGGTTTATAAACCAATTTATAACTAGGGGCACCACATTGTGTATTATAATATATTATAACCCCATTTATAGAATGAATAATCCCATAGAAATAACCAGTTATAACTCATTTTTTATGGCCATAACTGTAAGATACTGTAGCAATGAAAAACGACCATGGAAACCATATAAGAATAGACAAATCATCTACTTAAATGGGTCATGTTATACTCTGAATATACCTATAGTAATGGTTAATGCTACGATTCTTTAAGACAACCATGGCCATGGTGCCAGATCAGCATCCCCATTGACTAGTCACGACTCGTCCTCGTTGGTCGCGGCTGAGGCCGCGCTCTTGGGCTTCGTGGACCTCTTAAGGCGACCCCGGCGTCTGAGAAAAATCGTGGATGAAACCAGGGGGAGCCATGGGGCGCCCTAAAACTGTGTGTTTTTCTATACTAATTATCCCTATCCCATAGGATCCATGGTGCTGGTATATATTGGTATATATGCTAACATTGGGGGTATATTGATGGGATCCATGTTACCATATATAGCAGCACCATGGATCCTATGGGTATGGATCCAAGTATTTGTTCAAGTATTTGGGGGTTGATTTAGGGGTTAGCAGAAAACCTTCTCAGGTAGCATGAAAAGGTACTTAGATGGGCCATGGGAAAGATACGCGATTCTACTGGTTAGTAACTGGGGATTATGGATATAACCCCAAAAAAAAACCAATGAAATAATCCACTTATTAACTAGTTAACTAACTCCATGGCCCATCTAAGTAGTGATTTTACATGGATTTCAGCCATGTGTATCAATGTCATAGAGTCATATACTGACAATGATCATTGAGAAGAATGTTGAACTCTAAGCTCCATCATGTTCAGCCGGACTTGGATTACAGAAATCCTATATATTTTTCAGATAGATATATGTCGGACGGCATCAGCACCGCGGATTCAATAAACTTTTTCAGTCGGCTGAAATTCACAAGGTCTGTGTCTTGACCAATTCAACTGCCTGCTGTGAAGCAGAAGCATGATCTATCATGATCTCTACACGGCCGCACGGCTGGCACTAGCGCATAGCTGGCATAGCTCCCCTCATGGGCGTTCGCACATGAGAGGCTGGCGAACGGGGTTTGGTCAGAGCGCATCTAGCTGGACCCACGTCTATGGTTGATCAGAAAGCAATAGCAATGAAAACACGTGCCTATTACTATGCCTTTAAAAACCGGATAAAGATGGATAAAGATTATCTGGTTGGTGTCTTGGAGCCATCAACATGAATGTTTTGTTTCTTTGTTTTTCTGGAGGTTCATGATCTCCAGTGGTGACGGAAAGTTGTTCAAAAGCCATCCAAAGCTATCAGGCAAGGTATGACTTTGGGACTGATGGCTGATCAACCTCTGAGAATCTCAGTCTGTACAAGGTCGACTAGATGCGCAGTCATAGGGATTTTTGTTTCTCACCTGGCGAAAGCTGGCTGCGACAGCGTGAGTTGTGAAGTTCACACAGTTCACCCGCCCATTTCCAGATTTATCACTTTGGAAAAAGAGCTATGGAACAATTAGAATACCAACAAAAATATACAAAAATCACAAATTGGGGTTCCCAACCACAATTATGGCCCAAAATACCAGTTATAAGTACTTATAATCCCATTTATAGAATGTATAATCCCATAGAAATAACCAGTTATAACTGATTTTTATGGCCATAACTGCAGAATGTAAACTGCAACCATCTCCATTGGATGCGATTGGATCTACCTTCGAACATCTCAGGGCTACCTTGGATGGGTCATGGTGTGGGGGTTACTACTACCACAACTACCGGAAGGGCCACCCCTGGATAGGTAAGTTGGTTCATAACTATAGGCAAAGCAGTACATACGGTGGATATATATATATATATATATATTATATATACATGTGTTTTAAAAGGTGATTATAAGCCAAATCATAATTTGGGGGGCCTTTCGTGTGGGAGATCACTGCGCCTGTTACCCGTGCACTTACTACTTTGAGGTTGTTGTTGCTTGGCAGAGGCTTAAAAAACTGTCTCGAGAGGCTCTCGTTCTTGGAAGACACTTTCAAAAACATATTGAAGTATCACCATTTCCAGGCAACATATGTTCCTATGCAAATGCATATACACAATAACATGTATATATATATATATCATATATATATATATAATAACATATATATATATAACCAACAACATATATATATATAATAAACAATAACATATATATATATAATTATATATTTGTATAATAACATATAATTATAATACTATATATATATAATAGCATATATATATAATAACATATATGTATAATAACATATATATATATAACCATATATGTATATCTATAATATATATATATATACATTATATATCATTCTATAATATAAATTGAAATATGTAGTATGTAAACATAAAGTCCAATGTATCAAACTACACATACAAAATCTACTGATCCAAGTGGCCTCTGGGCACCGCTTCGACCGTCGCTTCAAGCGTTAGACGTTGAAGCTCTGTCCGCAACCGCACTCGGACTTCTTGTTGGGGTTGTTAAAGACAAACCTCAGCAGAAAGGTTTTCGAAGTTGATTTCTGTTTTTGCTTTTTCTTTGTCTGTAAACAACAAAAAGTGGTAATAATGTTGTTTTTGCATTACCCTCTGGTTATGACTCACATAGCCATGGAAGCCATGGCCCATAGAAATAGATGGTTTACCTATTAATAGCATGGTGATTTTCCATGGCAACGGAATGACCTAGCTGAAACTGCTCGGAGTATCCCCTGGTGAAGCCTGGAAGAATCGAGCTTCACTCAAGTTCGGAAATATGCTGAAACAACATGAAAAAAACATGGAATAGTGTTTAGAGTACACTCCAATATGATGTATAAAATTGTATAAACATGTCAACATTTGTTGACAATTCATCGTTGTGTATTTCATCACTTGGTGGAGAACTATGTATAAACATATACAACATATCGTTCCACAGGAAGTGGACATCAAACAAAAAACAGCCCATTTAGTTCGATGGTTTTCCTGATATTAAATGATTTATCTATTACCCTCTGGTGAACTAACATAACTATGGAAAGATCCACCATGCTATTAATGGGAAAATCCACTATTTCTATGGCCATTTTCAATAGCTATTTTGACATAACCAGAGGGTAAACATGGAAAACATCGAAAGGCTTGAGGTGACATCACCATAGATTTTTCTTTCTCATTTTTTGAGCCATGAAAAATACCGAGCTCTAAGCATTCCATCTCACGGTAGTTGGCTGATAAGTTTCTCTACTTTCAGGGCCATAATATATCATAATATGCTATATGGTAATCCCCTAGCCTAGGTAGTATAACTCCTTGTAATCAGCAATCAACAATGGTACTTTAACGGCTCAATAAACACGTTCACTGTGTGTCGCTTTGACATCCGCACAACGCGTTGCGGAATTTCACAGGTACCAGGGAGGTCATGAACACATCCATACCATGGGAATTCTTTGATATATGAACTCCCAGCCATAAATTGATGATTTACCATATGTAAATATGGTGATTTAAAAGACTTGAATGGTGATTTAATGGAGATATACCCTCCGGTAAACATTTACATAGCGAAGTGGAAAATCACCATTTTGTGGCTGGGTAAATTTTCACGAACTTTCGACTGGGCCATGGCTTGCAGTTTGCGAACTGTAACAAACTGGTGGTTTCAACCCCCTGAAAAATATTAGTCAGATTGGATCATCATCCCAACTATTGGGGAAAACAAAAAATGATCCAAACCACCAACCAGGTAACAAATTACCAGAGGGTAATGGGTGTATCCTTATCCCTCGTAATGGATTGATGACCATTCCACACATGTCAGCGGCTTAAAAACATGCTGTATCGAACGCCCATGCGAACGCTCATTCACATGACCCCATTTTTGTTGCAAAGAATCCCATTTCTTTGTTGATCCTTCCCTCCAGTACACTAACATAGCAAACTGGAAAATGGTCCATTTATGGAGGATATATATATAATATAATACCTATTGAAATGGGGATTTTCGCTATGTTAAATTACCAGAGAGTACATTTCTTGCTAAAGAAGTCCGACCGGGGAACTCATTTCCAACCTCATTGCTAACGAAGTCCATCTCTGTTCCAATCAGGAACATGACCTCGCTTCCCGTGGTTTCCCGGATCCATTCCCGTTCCCATCATTTCCCATCCTTCATAAGAAAGCCCGATACGTGGGGGCTGCAAGTTTGCTAGTAGGTGGGCAATACCGAAGTATTTGTTCACCCAGCTCCAACTGAGTTATTATTCATGCCATATTTGGGACGTACATCATTTCACATGTCAAACGTATGGAAACGGGTGTACTTGCGATCATGGGCCCCAATCAAAAAAAACAATGCGAAGCTGAGATGACCCGCCAGAAAACATGGAGGTGGGGATATACATATAGTAACCCCGAAAAAGAATCAAATAGAGAGAAAAGTAATTCATCGCTAGTTTAGTCGGATTTTACTTTGCTATCTTTTTGGGGCTTACTATACTATATGCATATATAGATTATATAGTTATTACATATATATATATATATTTGTATAATATATATTTCTGTATGATATTTCTCCTACCTCTCGACCTATACATAACCAAGGCCTCATTTTACTAGCATGCTTTTTTTCCACCAAAAAACCTCACGGGCAGGAGCTGATAGGGATCAAGCCAGGGGGCTCATTTACAAATAGTGCTTGTCATTTTGGACAACCTTCCTGTCAATGGCCATTTCAGGAACCGATTCATTGGAGGTACCTACCATATATAAGGCCTAAATTTCAGGGGATATCCCCTCAAAATATGGTCTTATATGGTACAGTACCTCCATTTTAGGATCCTGAATTTCCCATTGAAGCTAGTTTGTTTTTTTGGGCTGTGAACGTCTACCCCTAGCCTTGTTCTTTGGGCAATTTAACATACTTGCAGTCATTGAAAATTGCCCATTTAGAATGAGTTTGCTAACTCAACCAGCCCAATTAAACAGCCTAGGGGTTTATGAATCCAGATCTGACATCATGAAACATAATTATTATTTCCCTAGCAAACGGTGAAAAAATACAAGGGCTATACCTGGAGATGATGACCACGACAGGATCGTAGGCCAAAGCTGAGGACAAAGCTCTAAAATTCATGGGGGATTTAAGCCAACCCCCCGTCAGTTGATGGGTAGCCTTGTAAGGTAATGATACATATTAATAAGCCTAAAAATCACAGTTGTTGCTGATGAATAAGCCCTCTATAGACCTTTCCGAAATTGGGGATGTCAGCTGAATAGCCATGAGATCATGACCCATTCATTCTGTGTGGCACGATCAGCACGGTGCCAGGCTGTAGGGCACCGCACGGCTTTGGAATCTACAACCACCTTGATGCCCTGATCGGTCTCAACTACCTGACGCCACCATGACATAGGAAAGAAGTCCCACTTTTGACACTGTTGGGCCAACAGCATTAATTTTAAACAAACAAAGTATTCACCACTTCTTTCTTGGTGTTGATCTCCTTTGAACAAAAAAAACATATGAAGTAGGTTTGATTCCCAACTGTCCACGCGATCATTTCCACCTTTCAAGGCAAAAAAAAACAGTGGTCTCTCCCAGTGTTTGTTGGTTTATAAAATCCATCAACTATATATATATATATTATATTATACATATATATATTATATTATACATATATATATATATATATATATATACAGTATACATATATATATATAATACAATAGTATAATCTAGTATGCATATTTTATTTGCCGCACAGCCCGGTTATGCGCTTCTAAAACCAATCTAACTAGTTCACTTAATCTACCATAGCACCATGACGCTGCACCTCGTCGAACTTGTTCACTTTATCGGTGTAGTCCTGGGCCCAGTTCATCATCATCCAGTCGTCATGTGGATGACTGATGACCATGAAGTATTGAAACAACCATGAAACAACCATGGATCAAGACCCCCCATATAAGTCCCCAATAATCCAGGTAGATTCTCATGGAGTGATGGATTTTCCCATTTAGAAATAGCCATGGGCTTTCCAAGATACATAGCATGGTTTCCACACAGATCCACCATGACTTCAGAAAGCCCAAACTGCAGATGCCAACTTCGTATTCAATACCATCTGGTTATGACTAACATAGCCATGGAAAATCACCATTTTTAATAGGTAAACCCAGGTAAACCATCTATTTCTATGGGCCATCTATACCATGGCGAACTGTGAGTCATAACCAGGTTGGGTATATTCAATGGAATCGGAATTGCTTCAACTCTAATGTCAAGAAAAGATCTTAACCAAACACCATGGTTGTTTTTCAGTTCGCTAAAACCTGCGCTTAGGTTTTCCGGTTTTTTTTTTTGGATCATATCCCGGAGATCAAAAAGACGGCGAATGGTCCAGTGGAACTGGCCATGTTGCACTTGTTTGTCGTCGTATGTCTATTGCAAACATTAAAAAAAAAACACCCATGTAATACACCAACATTGAGTCATGTCCTTCAGAGCTTTTTCAAAAAACACTGCATCATATCGACATGTGTATCAAGTGTGACAATATATAATATAAAAGAACACCTCGAAATGCATCAACAATTTCATTGCAAAAGCAACATAACCAGCGTCTACGCACATCTAGATATGCAGTATATAACATGTAGCAATGGATCGTTGCTAAACCCTCTTGCAAAATCTCCTGGTCTTCAGAAAATTGTCTAGACCAAGGCACTAATTCACGACTTTGGAATACAAATCTGCCATGGAAAAAAGTAGCTGCCTATTTCTCACTCCCATGACGACTGGATACTGGACGTGTTTCTGGACGCCATATGACGCTCGTCAAACCCAACCATGGAATTCACCGAATTCTATAGCCGCTATGGTACCAGCTGCATTTGAGTTCCATGACTACCCTCTGGTAAACTAACATAACTATGGAAAATCGCTATGTTAGTTTACCAGCGGGTAATGTGTAAACGTGAAATTGAAAAAAACATGCGTTAAAAAATTGGATCGCTTATCTTGAGCAATTAGCAACATATCTCCGAGAAAATATCTCCCCGCTTTCCATCAGATCTTTCGCTTTGCGTGCTCGAGGTTACAGAACGTTACAGAAGGCGAGATCTTTGACAAGTTTATATCCCATGACATATCCACTGAATATCCAATGAAATCAGCACCATTTGTCACACATCTTGATATGAGTAGATAATGTGAAATCAACATTTCGCAAAATATCTTTACTTCGTTACAGTTATGGCCCTTTACCAGCTATAAGTACTATATAAGAAAACCCCATTTATAGATTGTATAATCCCATAGAAATAACCAGCTATAACTAATTTTTATGGCCATAACTGTAAATCATGTTCAATGACGATATTCACTGGTTACATCACTATTTTTGACTGCTTCGTTCCATATAACTTGACCACGGCACAAAAAAAAAACCGTTTGGGCGCCCTGGCCATGGTGTACGACATCCCGTTGCAGCCTCGTTGCCTGGTGTGCATCTCACTTAGGCAATGTGTTTTACCCCCAATTGTACAATGTCGGGCCAGTGGGGCCCCCTAGATAGCTAAGTTGGTGCAAATCACTCCAATTTCACCAGGATTTATGGTACTTATAACTATAGTTCATGGGGTTTATAAAGCACCTTATAACTGGGGGGGCCACATTGTATATGGAAGATCCCCACTTACATACGGGATTACATGGATTATATGTGGATTATAAACATGTGTAACCACATACTAAGTAGGATGCACATCCAAGTAACCATCAAAACTGGAGATTCAACCAGTGAATAAATGGAAGATTTAATCACACAAAATAGGGATTTTAACATTTAAGATGGGGATTGAACCAATGAATACTGGATCTGGCTTGTACACCGTCCTCAAAAGATAAGTTTGCTACCTAAACACTGGCTCTTTATGAAGAAAAAACCAACCAAAATGGATGTTTCTTCAAAAATAATGGCATAAAGAGGGATAACACCAGAAATCATGGCTTCTCTTGGCCATCAAATGTCGTGTTCGACTGGACAACGACGCCGTCTGCGGGGCATTGAAGAATTTAGATCAACCGCAAGTGGGATGCACATCCAAGTATATACAATGTGGTACCCCCCAGTTATAAGTTGGTTTATAATCCCCATTAACTATAGATATAACCCCCATAAACCCTAGTTATTGGACTTATAAACCAAGTTAGCTAACTATGGGGCACCACCTTGTAGAGCCTTTCGGATGATTGGAATGCTGCTGATCCCAAGAGATATTTCAAGCAGTAGCCCGGAGTGAGGCTTTCTCAATGGCGGATCGCCAAGTCAGCATCGGTTTTAGTACTACGTTAATGACTTGGATGATATGGTACACTTGGTGATAAAACAATATATATAGATATATATAGTATATATAATATTGTGTATATATTAGAATATGTATATATATATATATATATTATGGCGATTTAAAACCAACCATAGTGGGAATCTGAATGTGTCTCAAACATGTGGCATATTTAACCAACCAACATTATTTTGGATAATTAAACCAACTATATATAATGAAGTGATACAATGGGTATGAAGATTTGACTAAGATTTGGGTGTGTCTCAAAAATTGAGGATCTAGCAGGCTACCAGCATGCTTAGCGCATTTTTAGGAGGAAACATCATGACCAAGGCTTCGCCGCCATGGAACACAACGGCGGCCTTTAATAACAATCCCTTAAATAATACATGGACCTTTAGATCGACTTCCAACATGATGGAACTTGATGTAACTGGGGGGGGGTTTTGATATGGTATAATCCATTTACTATAGATGGGGCTCCCACTACCGCGCGCAAGCTTGTACCGCGCAAGCGCTGGTCCGTTGCTCCAACCCATCTCCGGCGCCTCAAGCCAATGCGCACACCAATGGTGCTGGCATCCTTCCTTCGCGCCATCAAATCGCCCAAGCGACTCGCGGCGTTCTTGGTGACGGACCTTGGATCTTGGAAGGCGGTTGGATTCCATGGGATTCCCAGGCTGGGAAGGTGATGAATTCAGAAATGGTGATTTCATCTACCAAGTTCTGTGGATTTAGCTAGGTTATGGCAAAGTTCAATTGATGGAGTCTTTATTTGTTCTCCTAAACAAGGCTCACATTGAGGCAAAATTGGTTCGTGATGTCCGACAACTTGCAATTTCTGGATCCTCTTCACGGATTTTCATGTTAGAATTTTAGTCGGTTCCATGTCACGGTTGTGAAGTGCTTGCGTGCTTCACATCTTGGAAGATGGTGAGATCGACGCTTCTAAGTTTTAAAGATGACTTGGCAGTGCATGACTGATTCCAATCTTATTTCAGCATGTCTAATTGGCATGTTTACAAGTGGCCAAGAACCACCAGCAGGAAAGAATAATAGGTCAATAGTACCATGTCCTTTCTTCAGAGGTTTTTTCCGCCGCCGTTTCTGTGCACCTAATATCCAGATATCTAGAGGGGTGTTCCCGCAGTAGATTTATTTTGGCGGGCAGCACTGCAACCTTTTTCCCACCACCTGAAACATCAACAACTTGGGCTACACTCTTCTCTCTTCCTGGAATGCCCTGCTTGTGGAAGCCTCAACACAGATCTGGTCCCTTCCTTTGCTGTAGAAATCAGGCCAGACATGTTTGGTCCGATAAGATCTCTGAAGCACAAGGTTTGTCAACAAAAACATGGCAAAATTTGCCATTTTCCCCATTGGATTAGAACCTCATTTTCCCTATGGTGGCCATGTCAGATCACAATCAGCTGGGGTCTCCCGACATGATCCGTTTGGTAGCAGCTGCAGCTGCCATCGGGGCAACGTGTAGTTTTTTGAGCCGCCCAAAAGTTTGAGCCAACGCGTCTTGGACAGAGAGGGTCATTACCAGGGGATCAAATGTCTACCCAGGGCATCAAACATGGCTGGGAAATCCCCGAACTAAATGGACCTTTAATTGGGAAATTCATAAAAACTAATGAGAGATTTCCTTTTGCCATGTTTGATTATCAGAAAGGTATGCTCAAAATCATCTAGAAATATCAGGATGCCAAACAAACAGGCGCTTCGATTATCAACACTATCAACAAAACACGTGGATTGAGGTACCCCATTGGTGAACGCTCCCCGCTGGTTCGGCACCCGGCTCAGACATGGGGAAGAAAACAACGAAAAGGGATTGCAGTTGTTCATGTATACATGTGTTTCATGGCGTTTCATGGAAAAACAGCACAAAATCAATCTTGTTCGGATGTAGGATCACAGGAGTCAGATGGGGTAGCACTCTCTGGGCAGGACCAGAAGATGACCACCAGGTATCATCCATGGCTGGTCAAAGCCGAGCATGGTGCAACTCGAGGCTGTGTCGATGCTTAAATCTCCCAAGAGAAAAGCTACCCTGCGGCAAGTTTAGAATGGCAATAAAAACAAATGAACATCTAAATCCATTGATATCATATTAATCATAATATATATATATATAAACATGTATATATTTGTAAATATCTAATATGATGGTACTATTCCACGATTGCATATGTGGATCTCAAATTGGACTGTTGAATTACCCGCAATGAAAGCCAATATCAAGGGCACAACCAGGATGATCAAAGCATATGTCGTATATCATACATATATATATATATTGAAGTATCTAGCCAAGTCGCTTTCCATCCTAAATTCAGAATTGGTTGTATGAAATTCAGAATTGGTTGTATTCCATCCTAGAATCTTTCCATATGTATGAACATCCCAAGGTTTTTCAAAGGTCAAAATCATATGTCTTTTAAAAAGTGCAAAAACAAAAAAGCTGGTCTTAGCCTCTGGTAGTCAAACATGGCCCGCGAACAAAAAAAACACATTTATTTGGAAAACTCAGCAATTTCCATTTAGATTATATATTTACATGTGTATATATATATATATACTGTGTATGCATATATATATATCCATTTATTTCATTGGTTTTCCCATTAACAAAACATAGACTAGACCTGAATTGAGTTCGGGGATTTCTCAGCCTGCCAGGTGTTTCTCGCCACATGGCCGCCTGGATGTCGACACTTCCGCGCTTCGTTTCATGGCACCTGACGCGTTGTGCGGGAAGTGCCTGGCAAACCATTTAAGGAGAGACTTGACTTTGGATTGGATTGGTTTGTGAAAATAACCTATAGTTTGGCGAAAATTCATCACCTATAGTCACCTATTATCACCTATACCTATTATCGCCTATTAGATAATAGATGAATACGTTGTGAAAAAAAACACGTCACCTCCATTCACCTATATTCACCGATTATCATCTATTCAATCGGATTCAATCTGTTCATGGGATTGCCTGTGATTTTTCCTGTAAACTAATTCTGTGAAACTAGGAACAGTTGTTGTCGAAGCAAAACCTGGAGTGCATGGGTCATGTTCATTTGCTGTCTGGGGGAGAGGGTCAAACTTAATGTCCCCCTACAACTGGATTGGTCATTGCTACCCAATTTTGCCCCCCATCCATATGGTCTCATGGATTTTTCCATTACAAACCATCCATTTTGGGGTACCCCTTATTTCAGGAAACCTCCATAATTAATATTAATTAATCAATATAGATTTGCACGCATGTTGACCAAGTCATGCTTTTTCTTGAAACACTAAAGCCCGCAACATAGTTGCTTGCAACCAGCAATGAACACAGAATGACAGGATTGCCATATTTGTGGATATGGAGGTTTCTTGAAATAGGGGTACCCCCAAATCATCCATTTATAGATGGATGTTCCATGTGGAAATCCATTTGGGGGTACCCACATTTATGGAAACCCCCATATAAGATTGTAAAAGCCTGGTAAGTATGGACACCACTTCCCTCTTCCGTATTTGAATTTGATCTGTGATCACAGCCGAAACGACGATATGGATGCAATCATCCAGCATGATATCGCGGACCAATAACATGTGGAATGGATGATTGATACTAAGAATTGCCAAAAGCTGCGGTCCCATCACTTTGGTTGAGTATTGGAGATGATTCGCAACATTCCCAACGCAGCCGCACCACCCAACGCAGCCACGCCTCCCAATGCGGAGCCGTGCGCTACAAGCAACGCTCGAAGAGAGAGTGAGGAAGAATCAGAAAGCAAAGTGAAGTTACTAACATTGACTCACTTGATAATTAGTAACACCATTGAAGCTTATGATAATTGATGTCCCTCTACCAACACCATTGAAGCAACATTTATTGACTCTATACGAGTGGAGCCGTGTTGCTTGATGATGGATGTTTTGGGATGGTTACTGTTGATACTGTAATTACCATATCCAGATACCCGGCCTGGTAAACGTTAACAAAAAGCTATTGAAAATGGTCATAGAAATAGTGAGTTTTCCCATGAAAAAAATGGTGATTTTCCAGTTCTCTATGTAAACGTTTACCAAAGGGTAATGAAATACTACACAGTCTTGGAGATAGTTACCCCAATCGTATTTCCAATGGAGGTTCCTCACCAAGCTGGTTTTGAAAGGGGGGAACCCCAGGTGAAAAGGGCCAACTCTATATGTGCTTCATCTTACTATACTTAGACTTGGAAAGTGGATTATTCCCATCCCCCTATGTAATATGAAACACCTCAATCGTATGGTCCCAAAATCAAAAGTGTGTAAATCCCTTACAAAACCAGGGGTTTCTGGGGGGTGTTTATCGTTAGGGAGACACTATTACACATGCTTCTTTCTGTTGGGTAACTGTGATCGGGACCCACTTTCTGAGCAGGAAATGTTCATCCAGACCCATAATTCATCCTAATATAGTTCTATAGTATACATATATATTATATATATACATACATATACAAAAATATAAATGTCTACTTGGAAAGTGGCTGATCGTCCACTTTTTCTTGTTGGGCTCATCATTTTTCGGCGACCCGAAAACAACGCCAGGCCCGCAGCAGCGGCTCGAGCCATGAGATCCGGAAAGGTGGCACGGTGGGATCACTGACCTTTAGGGCCTGTCCCATGAAAATTGCCATGTTTCTATTCTATGGCAAAATGGAGTGGTTAAAGGGAAAATCTTAACCGGAAACCATGGTTTTTACCATCAAATATAGGGTTTTCCTGTAAAATTTCCCATCATCCAATTCTATGATCTATGGCAAAATGGTCTCTTGATTTTAATGTACATATGGTTTTCAGTAGATGGTTTTTACAGTATATATATATTATATACATACAGATGTCACTACCAATGGTAATTGACTAATCAATGGTGAATAGCAACGATATTCTAATGTTTATGGAGATTCTACTAGTGTAGTGGTACAGTAGTAGTTACACTAACATCTGGTAAACTAACATATGTATGAAACTAAACGGTATAGATACTCGTTGGTGGTTGAGCTTACCCCTCTGAAAAATGATGGAGTTCGTCAGTTGGGATGATGACATTCCCAATATATGGAGAAATAAAAAAAGTTCCGAACCACCAACCAGTATATATATATATACAGAGTATATGGTACCCCATAATGTATGTATGTATATACATGTTTGAACTTGTACAACATATGTTACAATGGCATTCATGATCGACATTGATCTGCTTTTGCTTGTTTCTGCAGCCAGCTCACATGGATCTTGTGAATTTCAGGAAAAACACATTCCGCTTTTGGCAAACTTCATATTAAGTGATGTTTGGTACCATTTCCAACAGATACCAACTAGATTCAGAAGATCATGGTTTCTTTGGGACTCATTTTCAGAAGCAACCTCTTGTAATGAAACATGGCAATAATTGAACATCCACCATTGAAATGCAAATGTACGGGGAATTGTTCATTGCCACGTCTAATTACCGGAGGGCACATGGACTGACAATGTGTTCCATGTTTGCTCCGTTCACCTAGTTTCACACATTGGATTTCCATTAGACCATTACTTCACCAGAGAATG